TAACAATTTTATAAGGACTTGTCCAAGGTAGGTGTATCGATACTAATTCACCAATTTGGTATTTATGTTCTGTGCTATTAAAATCGCAATATTTCCTTTGCTTTTGGTGTGAACTAACAAGATTTTCTTACACCATATAATAAATGCAAATTATTAAATGCAAATTCTAATCAAGATCGTAACTCTTTATTTTCAGCGTTCTTAAGGCCAGTTTTAACCAGCTCTTAGCCAATGAGAGCACTTAAAACCGCTGTCACCGTGGTAACTATCCCCTAGTTAGTTTACCAAGAGAATGGTAAAAATGAACCATACTGGGGTAATCAATATGTAATGGTAATTCATACTGAAAATCTTGTGGTAAACTCGCATTTCGCCAAAACATAAGTAATAACAAGTAATCACGAAATGGCGGATGACAGACAAGTTTTTAAACGGTCGTGATGAAATTAGGTATTTTATTACTCGCCAACAAGATAGCTCTTTTAGCGAAAGTGCTTAAAACAGCAAAGCCACCAAAATCAAACTTAACAATGAACGAAAGAAAAGCACTACGAACGATAAGGGAAAAACCAGACATTATCATCCTACCAGCGGACAAGGAGAATGCGACCGTGGTTATGGACAGAAAGGAATACGACGACAAGATCAAGAGCCTTTTGGACCCAGCCACCTATAAGAAAATAAAAAAAGACCCAACCGAGAAAATAGTAAGGAAGATGAAAGAACTGGTAAAATCCAAAGACATCCCAGCAGATCAACAGAAAAGCTTATTCGTACAGGCTCCATTACCACCAAGGATATATGGATTACCCAAAGTCCATAAACCAGACGTCCCACTATTGTCAATGCCATAAATTCTCCCACCTATCAGCTAGCAAAACACCTTTCCAAGATTATGTCTCCTTTTACAGGTAAAACAGAGTTATATGTCAGAGATTCCACACATTTTGTAGAATCAATTAGGAGTATAAAGCTAGACCCTCAGGATATGCTGGTAAGTTTCGACGTGAAATCTCTATTCACCAGAGTACTAGTCAAAGATGCCGTGGATGGTCTTTTCCAGAAACTCATCCCGGAGGGTTTGCCCAAGTATGTCCCAGGACTAGTGGAATACTGCCCATCGTCGACATATTTCAGCTGGAAGGGGGAATTCTACGAGCAATGCGAAGGGGCAGCCATGGGATCACCTCTGTCTCCTGTTATAGCCAATTTTTACATGGAGATGCCCCATGATAAAATTTACCATGGAAACAGAAACTGCAAAACAGTTGCCATTCCTGGATGTGTTAGTCATTAGGAAGACAGATGAGGGTATATCGAAAGAAGACGCATACGAATAGGTACCTGCAGGCTTCATCCAACCACCACCCACAACAGAAGAGGTCCGTGATTCAAGCCTTATTCCAGCGAGCAGAGAGGATATGCGATAAAGAGAACCTAAGAACAGAAGAAAGAATCCTAGAAGATGTGCTGCAGAAGAACGGCTATACGATGAGAGATATCCGACGAGTCACCAAACCACGCAAACAGAAGGATGACTCGGTAAGTACGACACCAGCCGGTTTTATCTGCCTTCCTTACGTTTTAGGTGTGACGGAGCGAATTGCGAGGCGTCTGAAGAAGAATGATATCGTGGTACGATACGGTACGGTCAGCAAAATACAAAACGCTCTTCCGATAGCCAAAGACAAACTAACCCCATTAAAGGGAGTGGACGTAACATCGAGTGCCGCATCAATGAACTGTAGTCGCAGAGCATTGCCACAAAGGAGGACACAGCATAGAGTTCGACAAAACCAATGCTAGCAAGAAACGGACATTACTTCCAAAGATTGACGAGAGAGGCAATAGAGATTTATCGACATGGGAATAACATGAATAGGGGAGACGGTTGGGAACTCAGCCGCACATGGAAGATTCTCCACCCGGATTTGACAAACACAACTTACAATTAGTTGACAATTAAACACTAATTAGTTCTTAATTACCTTATCATGTATTTATTGTCAAATTTTAACCGAATTCGTCACTTCGAACTTGTTTCTGAAGAAGGCTGCAACATGGCATCCGAAACGTTAAAAATTTCGTCTCCTTATTATTTTAGTGTGGTCAAACACTTGTCATCCGTACACGCGCAGTGTTTATTTTATTAATTCACTTATTCATAACTCTTTTCATCGTTCGGTTTGTTTGCGGTGATGATTGTGTTTAAGACTACTTAGGGGTGTTGAGATATTCTGAATTTTTGAGATTCCAAACGTGAAAGAAAGTAGGTGCATTTAAGCCATATTAGTTTTAGCCAGTTGTTGTAGAGTCTTCTGAACTTATGGCACTTTACAGCATCGTGTACGCACTTTGAATATTAGTGCGGAGCGCAATTTTTTCGTAATCATGTAGTAAGTGAAAGAATTGATGAAACGCAAGAAAAGAATTGATGGGCATATCCCTTGTCTTCTTTTCCCAAGTTTAATATTGCATTAATTTTCCTTTCTTCCAGTTCAAACATTTTTTTGCACATCGCCTTTTTTTCTTATGTGAGTTGATGAACGGTATGATGGGGAAAACGCTTCATCGATTCCGGCATAAGTTTGTCGACTCGCACCTTCAACCGTTATGTCGGGTATGGTGAAATCTTCCTCCAGTAAAAGTTCCCCACCATAAGACTTGAAATAATAGTGAATTCCATTAAAGTTTGAAACATTTTAGGTGGTGGATTAACACCTACACCAGAGTTTTCTAGGAGAGTTTCGTTACCTTTTTCCTAAGTCTAAGTATGATACAATCATAATCCAATTAATGCAAAAAGCCCTACTACATACATACTAGCACCTGGTGCAGGAATAATGGGCTGAGTATCTATTCGAATAAAGTAGAAATAGTCCCATTCACTCGGAGAAGGAAGCTACAGCTGAGAGCATCATCCATTGAAGAGCTATTAACCTCAAACCAGAGGCCAAATGCCTAGGGGTAGTACTAGACAGTAAATCAAACTGGAATTCCCACATCGCCAATGTGAGGAAAAAGGTCATCATGGTTAACAAGATCTGCCGTAGACTCTTTGGAAGGAATTGGGGTCTTTGGCTCTATGTGGTAATAATCAAACCCATGGTCGCCTAAGCTTAATTAGTTTGGTGACCAGAAAAAAATCACAAGACAACAACAGCCGACACAAATCCAGAGGCTTGCATGTCTTTATATAACAGGTAACCAAACAAATACAAAAAAAAGTATAAAAAAGAGAGGCAGTTTTGAATGCCTTGTCCCTGAAGACATGCTCTTCACTCAAGCTGATGCAGGGTAACCTCACTTGATCAAATTAAAACAGATTTTATACCGACAAAAAAAAAATTCGACAAGCTATATAAGGTTATGTTTAGAAGCTTGGCAGGTCGGAAGAATGGACGAGCCTCAACTCAAAAAAGGAGCCAATTTCGGAGTAGATTCGGAGTAGGAATGCTCTTAAGCTCGAATACAACCATTTTTAAACCTGAAGATGTTGCCATAAACTTCTGCACCGTTTTGAACCTTGAGAAGGGACAGAAATGGGGCATCGATAAACATCTTTACGACAGTCTTAACGGATATTCAGAGTCTACACGTGTGAATCCGCACTGGTCAAAGAATGTACCGACTACCTATGATGGGTTCCAGCTCACAAAGATATTGTGAGTAAGAAAAAGGCAGACAAGATGGCCAAAGAGACAGTGAGGACTTGTTATTGGACAAACTCGGAAAAAAAGCCACACATGGAACACATGGAATGACTCAAAGGTAGCCTTGCGCTGGAAAGAGGGGCTTAAGATCAGTAGGCTTAGGTTTCAGCACTGAACAAGCTGAGGGCCAAACTTGTCGACTTTGCAACAAGTCAGAGACTGCTGTACATATTCTGTGTGACTGCGTAGCCAGAGGTCGCCTAAGACACAAAATTTTTGGAAAGGTTTGCCTGACACCTAGTGACATAATAGTATATTAAAAAACAAGTTTCGTAAGAAAACTGAAACTGAAATGCACGAATTCAAGTTTTTCAAACGAGTGGCAAAGCCACGAGTTTTTTAATGAATATTATATATGTTTTGCAAAGTTTTAGTGTTGACGATCTAATCTACTAATGAAGGGCAGGGCCCGAAACCAGGTCTAGACGATAAATTAATAAATTATCACCAAAAGTATCATTACATAATTTTTTTTTAAAATAAAAAAAAATATTAACACGTGGTGAAAATGGATATATCCTATTACAATAGAAAAATTAATGACCCAATGTCACCAACTTGAACCGGTTCCATAAAATGTTACCAAAATCTCATTACAGCATCCGATGCTGTAAGGAGTCTCATTACAGCACCCGTTTGAGTACTGTAATAGCTTTCATTATCATCGCGAATTATAAAAAGAAACATTAAGGACCTAGATCTGCCTTGAACAAATAATTCTAAGTCTTGAGACGCACAGCTAAATCCGAATGTTTCTAGGTCTAGTGTTAGTTCTAGTAATAGTGTTAATTCTAGTTTTAGTTGTTATTCAGTGGTATTATTAGTATTAGTTCTAGTTTTAGATCAAAATTAGGAGTAATTTAAAGACTGTCATCATTATCTACTTCTACGTTACACTTACAATACATTTGTATAAGTACGAATTAAAATAAATCCCAAAATAGTACAAATATTAATAATATCACTGAGATTAATGAATTACGAATAAAATTTTCTTCAAAAATTATCGATATTATCTTATATATTTATATATAACCCTTTTAATGCGATTACATTTTTCAACCCAATGATTTTAACTTTGTATAATTCACAACCAATTTACTTGATATAATCGCACCAGACCATAACGAATCCAATTCTAGAAATCCCACAAAAACCAACTCGCATTTCTAATATCGAAAAAGCATGAAGCATTTAAAAAAAATATTCAACTCCTCAAAATCCTTATACTTCTCATCAATGTTATTGGGTTTAATGTCGATAAGATTGGACAAAAGTGGAAACAAAATGATTCGATCAAACATTGGAAACACTTACAACATTTTAAATGCCTTGATATTCGTGGGATGTTTCATATACGCGTGTGAAGACGTTAAAATTTTATCGGATTCCTCAAACAACTCAATTTCACAAGCGACCGGTTTAGTTGATTTATACGCCGGAATTACAACGCAAACAATTTCGATATTTTTGTGCTGCATTAACGGAAAACGATTTATACAACTCACGCATGGTTTAGCAAATATCGACAAACATTTAGAGGTTCTTGGAGAAATCATTGAATATAAAAAATCAAAAAAATTTGTTGTATGGGGGTTAACTATTATAACAACGGAATTTATTATTACATTTTCGATAGATTACGCGTTATTTATTCAAGATGAATCTAAAGTGTATTTGATAACTTCGTATTACCCTATAATAACGATAGGAATTGTTAAGCTACAATTAACCGTTTTGATGTATTTTATCAAACAAAGATTTCAGGCGTTGAATAATATCGTTAAGGAAATTAGCGGATCGAGATGTAATATTATGCACATTAAAAATCATGGGATTATAAGGAATAATGTTCATATAATTCATGTTATTCATAAAGTTCATAATCAATTATGCCAAATATGCTCGTTGGTGAATTACCTTTATGGTATACCATTGGTTTTAATATCCGGATCAGCTTTTATAATCACAATAAATGAAATTTATTATTGTTACACTAAAATTAAAGAAAATATTTTACCGGATTTGATTTGCGATGTTTATTTTAGTTTGCAATGGGCTGTTTTGCAAGTGTTGGAAATGTATGTTATGATTTATTTTGCGGAAAAAACAAATTTCGAGGTATGTATATTTTAAGAACAAAAAGGAATGATATAGTGGGAATTTCATATAACTCGCAATATATTGATGCTGTAACCATAGTTACGAAACTACTATGCAGTTTCACTGTCCCACATAAAATGCAACATCTCTTAATAGTACAGACATTGGGTAATTTTGCAAAGGAAAAGTTTTGCTTGGAAAAGGTGACGTCTTTATGATAACTTTGAGTATCTAGGGCTAAACCCGAATGATTCTAGTTCTAGGTATAGTGTTAGTTCTAGTTTTACACTTGCACTGTCACTAGAACTAACATTAGACCTAGAACTAGAATCATTTGAGTTTAGCTGCACGTCTCTAAAGACGGCTAAACCCGAATGATTCTAGTTCTAATGTTTGTTCTAATTTTACACTAGCACTGTTAGTATGTAGAACTAACACTATACATAGAACTAGAATCATTTTGGTTACTTCGGATAGTTATGAGTGGGGTAGATTCGTACTGTACGAATGTACCCCGTGTGAGTTCATGTTTTTTGACCAAGAATATGATTATTACAGCACCATGCCACGTATATATATGTACATATATATATACATATGTAAAAAAGGGGACTTGAACTGGAAAGATAAACGAAGATGCAGTGAAGTTTGCGATGAAAAAGGTTTTAAATATAACTTTATCTATTAGAAAATCCGCACAAAAATATGGTGTCAAACCGCCAACTCTTGAAAGTCGCCTAACGAAATTCCATAAAACAGCTGCTGCCAAAAAGGAAGATAACATCGCAGCGCGTGTTTTCCGTTCCAAATTCACGTCGAATCAAGTGTTCACTACCGAAGAAGACACTTCTCCGATCTGTTCCAAAATGCACTTTCGGTTGACAATTGTACAGGTGAGGAAACTGGCTTACGAATTTGCAAAAGCGAATCAACTGCGTTGTCCACTCAGCTGAGATCTTAATAGAAAGGTAAGAAAAGAATGGCTGGACAGTTTTTGCAGACGAAATGAAAATTTAAGCCTAAGAAAACCTGAAAACACCAGTGTTGCAAAATCTTATAGATTCAATAAGACGGCCGTAAAAGAAAAAAATCAAAAAAAAATTGGTCAACTTGTTTCGGCAGAAAGAGACGAATTAGTTACATTTGTAGGGATTATTTCAGCTAGTGGTAACCACTATTCACCTTTTCCAGGGTACATTTCAAGGATCATTTTATGGCAGGTGCTCCAGAAGGCAGCCTGAGAGTGACTTCTAAGAGTGACTGGATAAATTCCAGTATATTCGTGGCGGTGCTGAAACATATTCAAAAGAAGACATCCTGCTCAAAAAAATTCTGCTCCTAGTCGACAACCACGAAAGCCATATAATAATAGAAGCAGTGAACTATGCTTGTGGTGACAGATAAATAACTACGGCGTTATTTATCTGTCGGGTCGGGTCGTTCCCACCCGACACAACACACCGTCTCCAACCCGTAGATGTGGAAGTGTTTGGACCTTTTAAAGTCAAGCTGAAGATAGCGTTTAATGATTGGCATGTGAGTAACCCGGGGAAAACCCTTACTATAAACATTCCGAAACAAGCAAAAATTGCATATTTGGAATCATTCACTTGCAAAAATATTGCAAGTGCTTTTGAAATGATTGGAATATGGCCATTTAACAAACTAACTTCTAATGAAGAGGATTTTGGTCCCGTGCAAGTTTATCATTCAGGTTCCCCAGCAGGCCCAGATGTCAACGTGCAACACATCATACTTAAAGATATAAATCATATTCGACAAAAACAGTCACCGAGATCAACGCCGGTGTCAACCTCTTTGCTGTTACACAGGTTTGATTCACCATTTTCATCAACTGTAGGATTAATAACACCATAAATCATCCGACCCTACCCCAAAGTAGATGATAGGAATGCGCTTAAAAAATCGAAGAAAAACTGCCAGGAAAGTCAAGAATATACACAGATACACCCGAAAAAAATAGACTGGAAGAAATAGAGAAAGCAAAANAGACTGATATGAGTTAAAGAGAAAGTTCTTGTTCTTCCACAGAAAAGATGTCTGAAGAATCTGATATTGAAACCGAAACACCAGTCATGACGGAAAACGTAAAAGAAGAAAGCTTTGTACTAGTTAACTTCGTAAAGAAAAATAAATTCTTTATTGTTCCTCACTCTTATTGCATTACAGCGAAAGCATAAGACATATACATATATGTGTAAGACGAAAAAAAATATAAGATCGAGTGAGAAAACGAAATGGTAGGTATTCAGCTCATTAGCTGGTCTTCGTAATAGTAATTGTCGGTTACATTTATTTTGTTTTACAATCATGTCTTTTATTAACGTAGAAGCGTATGATATGTTACGTATTTATTTTCAATGTTTGGAAAATGCTGTAATTGCATCGCGCGAATATGCAATGCAGTTTCCACAAAGAAGACATTTTTCTCGAGACGTGTTGTCAAGATTGGCTAGGCGATTACGGGAAACTGGTAATGTGCAACCTATTCAGACACCTATAAGAACTCGCAAAACATGCATCGAGGAAAATATTATTAATGTTCTTTGTTACATATAATTTCCGACGACGTGGGTATCCCGAAAACAACTGCATAAGATTCTTCAAGAGAATAATATGCATCCCTACCATATTATTTTACATCAGGCCTTAAGAGAAGCCGATTATGACAACAGACTTAATTATTGTCATTGGCTGTTAAGTATGATTCGTGAAAATGAAAATTTTTTATCAGAAATACTATGGACGGATGAAGTATCTTTCATTTGGCATCATTGATTTGCATTATTGGTCGGAGCAAAATCCACATTGGACGCGGCAGATAGAGCATCAAAATCGCTGGAGTTTGAATGTATGGTGCGGAATCGTAGAAGGAAAACTTATAGGCCCACATTTTTTTAACGCAACACTTAAAGGAGAATAATTTTTGGAATTTTTGAACGTTTTCCTTCCACCCCTTTTAGAAAACGTCTCCTTGGAAACAAGAAGGAACATGTGGTTTCAGCTTGATGGTTGTCCGGCGCACTATGACCGAAACGTACGTCAGCATTTAGATGAACAGTATCCGAATCATGTGATTGGAAGAGGCAGTCTATCTCTTTGGCCGACGCGTTCCCCGGATCTAACTTGTTTGGATTTTTATCTATGGGGTAGATTAAAAGACCTAGTTTTTCAAGAAGAACCAACAACCAAGGAAAATATGATGGAGAGAATTCGAAGTGCCATTAGAAACTTGTCCAGGGCTGAAATTCAAGCAGCAGTTTTTTCTACCGAAACTAGAGCAAATAAATGCATCGAGAATGATGGAAAACATTTTGAACATTTATGGGCTATTTTTAGCTAAAAGTTGAGTAATTCTAAGTGTTTTGGTTTATTTTGTTTTATTGTTATAGTTGATGTTTCGTTGGTCCGTTGACCTTGAAACACGCTTCAAAAATGGTTTTGAACCAGTCCTAAGCCTGGATAAAGTGTAAAGGAAGGCTCTACGTAATAAATTTTTATGCTCTGTGATTTGTTTGTTAAGGTAATATGATCAGATTGAGGTATAAGAATTTTTAACATTTTCTTCTATAATTCGAGAACGGATGGCGATATCGAGATGCGGTTTATTACGTTTACAAATATTATGTTTATAAATACGTAACATATCGTACGCTTCTACGTTAGTAAAAGACATGATTGTAAAACAAAATAAATGTAACCGACAATTACTATTTGAATTAAGTTTTGACAGTTGTCAAAGCGCAATGTTTTCAACTAGTTACCATAGTTACCATGGCTATGTGCTTTGTTTTTCTCGATAAGGTGATTAGATCTGATTGAAGAAACCCGAATTTTTAACATTTTCTTCTATAATTCGAGAACGGATGGCGATATCGAGATGCGGTTTTCACTAATATTTAGCAAATTTTATGGTGACTAAGGATCTGTGAAGTAAATAGCCATTTAACTTTTTTTCAAAAATCACAAAAATAGGTCATCGCTGCAGATAACGCCCTCTAGCTTATTTGTTTTAAACCAAACGGTCTTACTGAAAATATCTTTTAAAAGAGCATAAAATGCTCTTTCAAACGAGACCAAAAATATTCAAATCGGTTGAATGGTTCAGGAGATACTAAAAAGTAGACATTTGAAAACGCGTTGGCCTCCCCCTCCCTTATTATGACAGATATGAGAAATATTGCAAAACAAAAGCGATGCGGTATTATCCAAGCTATTAAATGATGTTGTCAAAGTTATAGCTCATCGTCTAACTTTCTGAGATAGCGGGAATTTTATATTTCTCTATAGCAGTTACGCCCCCTAGCGGTCGAATTACGAACTTCAAAATAATTTCCAGCAATTTCTCTTACCCACATTGCCTATAAGGATTTTTTTCCCAAACCTCTAGGCCTTACCGTTGTTGAGATACAGCCGCTCCGTACCCTTAACGGGACACCTGTATATGCAGTAAATATAAGAAAATATGCAAATTTCATATAAAAATATGCATGCATTTTGTACTACTGTTAAAATAGCATATTAATTTACATATATATAAAGTCGGTATTTTTTTAATAGGTTCAACTCAAAATAACATCTAAAGATTTAAAAACTCTATTTTATTAAAATTAAAAAAATACAACTAAATAAAATATATTTATAAACAGGCGACTACAAACTTCAGCATACGTAAAAATCGATATATACACAGAGTGTTTTAAAACAACGTTTAAATATTTATAGGGGTATATTGTGTCGATTTGCCAAGTATCAAGCCTGTAGTAGTTATAGTTTAAAAGAAAAAACGTAGAGTCCCAAAAAATTTGAACATCCTGTATCTTAAGAACGGTTGATTTTCGGACCCATGTTTATTAACACTTTTCGACTTGTCTTTGATTGTAGTACTACCCCTATAAATATTTAAACATTGTTTTAATACATTGACAATTGTTGACAAAATTGTTTTTTTTGAGGGGAGACTTCAAAAATATTTTTTTACATTGCTAATTAACGCAGTTACATCTGGAAATTGATTCCAAATTTCCTCTGCTACTCTATTCAAACCATGCACGTCATATGAATTAAATTGGGGTACAACATTTTAAGTTGTTGACCTGCTTTAACCATATATGTGGCAGCATCCATAAGCAAAAGCAATATTTTTTCAGTTGGTACAATTTCCGGAAGAAAAAAATTCATTAACGCTTCATTTACGAAACGTAAAATTGTAAGATGATTAGTTTTGTCTAATTGTCTGCAAGCAATTAAATATGAGTTACCAGCAAATAAACTACTTAAAACACCTATCAGCAAGTTCGCAATATATCTTCCACAACAATCGGTAGTTTCGTCAACTATTAAATATACGTAGTGGTTTTTGACTATTTCTTTGATAGTCCTAATTATTTTAATATACTCCTCATTTACGTAGCCCTTGCACAAAGTACTTTCATCCGGTACAGTACGCCCAGAATACTGTTCTAAAAATTTTTTTAATTCAGGATTTTGCAATTTTTGAAATGGAATTTTGGCTCCCAAGAAGGCTTTGCATAATCCTGCATTAAATATTTGCTGCTTATTTTTGGTTGTTTCTGGTTGAATAGCTTGCTTCAAAGATTGTTGAGCCATTTTAGTTTGATTAAGTTGGTGAGTTTTTTTCTTATGTAAACCGGTACCAACATGTTGCGTGATCTGACATTTGCGGTTACAAGCAACCTGCAACAAAAGCTTAAGAGTAAGAAACAAACTTTTTGGAATCGACTTTAGCCATACAAAGTTAATTTAATATAAAACCCATGGAATAAAATAGATTAAGAAAAGTATTCAAAATTACAACAACAATCTTAAGGATGACTTAAATAAAAGCGTGATTTAAGTTACAGGTGTAAATAATGGAAACGTTCTCAGTTCTTTAATTGGTCAGTGGTTATAGGAGTACGTTTTCATTATTTACACCCGTAACTACAATTCAAACTGGTAGAATGGATTATAATTTTAATCTAGACTCTATAAAGTGTAATTATTAGTTTTATTTAAATTTACATTGAAAAAATATGACAAATATAAACTTACCGTTTTACTACATGCTTTACAAAACACATTTTTTTCTTGTAGAATAAGTTCAGGAATTGCTTTTATCCAAGACACCACCAAATAATTTTCACTTTCGGCATTTTTGAAATACTTAAAAGTTTGTACATACAAAGCAAAAACTAAAAAGAGATCCGAACAGCTTAAGATCGACGAATATAAGAAAAAAGATCGACGTTGTACTTTCAAAACTTATAATACTGTAAAATATATGAAAATATGTGAAAATATGTGAAAATATGCAATATATGCAAAAATATGCGAAAAACTTAGAAATATGCAAAATATGTAAAAATTAATAGGCGTCATTCAATTCCTATTCACGTAATTTGTCTAGATCCGAAAGCATTGAATCGTACTATCAGCGGTAAATAATATGCAATTTGCATAAATTCCGGACTCTACTTATAATATATACCTTTTATGTATTAGTTTTGTTAATTATAAGTGTTTATTATATATCAGATATCACCTTCTTTAACGTGAATAAATCGATAATGTGAACAGTCCGTGTTTTTTTCGGTTCACACTATCGCGGTCTACTGTATTTTCAATTATCATTAAAATATACACAAATATTCAATATCTTTCAACAGCTTTTAATGATAATAAAATCTGATTATTTAACGCAATAAAAGAACACAATTTACGAAAAATATGCCATCAATGGTAAAAAATGCATAAAATAAGCACTAAAAAAAATATATGCATTAAAATTGAAAATAGGCAAAATGGTACACAAAAAAATTAAGCAGGAGTATTAATTTATTCTAATTCGTGTATATATATGGTTAAAATTGCTATACCATCAAAAATTACTTATAGCATAATTGCTAGAAATCCGCACTTTAGTAATCATCATAGTAATGTGAAATTATATTGTCATGTTACATTTTACGTGGGACAAAGTAAGTAGGTACGCCCCTTTGTATAGAAATATATTTTTGTATATTACCTCTTTGTAAGTGAAATTTACTGTATATAAAAGTTTATTTTTGTAGATTCGAAAAATAACTTCTTTTCTCCATGATATTTGTAATAAAGTTATTAATAAACGAATTATTGAGGAGGTAAAGTTTATAAAGGTAAAATATTTTTTTTTAATTCCAATTAGTTTCAGATTCACAAATTTGCTTTATATATGACACACAACAAAACCAATTTCAACGCTTGCGGTTTATTTAAATTAAATTACATGTTTTTACACTCGGTATATTAATTTTTATTAATATTAATAATTTAAATACTTTGTGTACTTTCAGATGATCGCGGGTATAACCTCTTACATTATAATCATGATTCAATTTGATATTGCAAAAAATGGATTGATAAATAAATATAATCAAACGCACTTACCTAATAACACTTTGTAATTAAATTAATTTAATTTTTGTTGCTTGAAACACAATAAAAATAACAACCATGTGGGACTCAATAATAACTGTGAAGTTAGTTGTAATAAAAAATTAGGTTATGTTTCAAGAAAATAACATATTTTCTTTTTAATTAATTAAAACACTTATTTATTAAATTAATAACAAAATTAATTTATCTCCTATATCTATATCTTTTAAAATGAAACCATAACTGAAAAATATTATTATGAAACTGACATCTAAATCCCCGTTTATATGAATACTCCCATTCTCGATTAACAATTTTAAATGCGATGTCTTCGTACGGAGGCCCTGCGTGAAATCTTAAGATGGCAAATTCTCTATTTTCGGGACAAGGTGTCAAAAAATACTCGGGAGTATTGTTTTTATCGATTAAATCGGGGTAGAATATATTAAATTTATACCCTTGAACGATTTTTGGTGGTGGGTTATCCATGTCATAATGAGTTTGGTTGTATTTGTTCCATTCGAATCCTGTGTGTACTCTGTTGAAATATCTTGGTTTTCTTGGTCTGTATTTGTCCGACCAAAGATATACCTGGTTATCTAATGCGGCTTCAACTGAAAATTGAGCTTCGTCGTCTCCCATACCTTTTCTTGCTTCGCGTTGGAGTAAAAGTTCTTCTTTTGTAACAACGTTCTAAAATTAATAAAAAATAAGTATATTAAAAATATTTTAAGAAATTGAATAAAAATACTCAACAATACAGATCGTATGGAGCGCAAAGGAATGTGTGGAAAATGTTTTTGAAAAAAGAGGTTGTTCAAATCAAGACTGTGCCAATAGAAACTTGGCAAAAGAACTCTATTCAGCCGAAGAACTAGCAGATATCAGAGAATATGTGACCGATACAATCTTTGAAGAAGATGTTTAAACAAAACTTGCAAAATTAATGAACAAAAAGTCTTGAAACTGATAACATAAACAAGGAGTTATTCAAGTTTGTAGGGCACAAATTGATATAGAAATTGACTGAAATATTTAACAAAATTCTCCATGATTCTAAAGTACCAAAGGAATGGCATCACAGCATTACCATTCCAATATTTAAGAAAAGACAAAAACCGCGTCCAGAGAATTCTCACTGTTAAATACTTCCATAGTTCATCTTTTCTTCCATTTACGAGTATTCTCAAAGAAAAACTAGAGAACAAAATAACTAATGCTAAAGAACAAGGATTCAAAAAAAGTTAATTTATAACCGACGCAGTCCATTGAGTTTGACAAACCTGCATTCATCTGTTTTGTAGATCTTACCAAAGTTTTTGACACAGTCCGACTGGTGGATATCATAAACATCTTAAAAGAAAAGATCATGTCTGCTAATATAACAAAGATAACACACGAGTTGAATACGAATAACAACTAAAGAGTAGGGGATCAAACAACGAATAATATTGCCACCCTGGGAGAAATTAGACAGTCTTAACCCATTTCTGATAATCTCTTAATGGATAAAATCATAGAGATCTAAACATGGGATACGTGATGGGTACCAATAGAGTTAGCAATAATCGTAGAAACAGAAGACTCAAGATGCTTATTTCAGTTGATAAGAATCCATGATAAACATGTCAATTGAACAAAGACTTGACGAATCTAATTAACACAGCATTCGGGGGGCGAATGGCCCCTAGGTAAGCTCTCGGGCTACCACGCCAGCGTCCTGGGTTCGATTCCCCGTGAATACACGCCGAGTCGCCTCCCCGTCCTTCGGAGGGGACGTTAAGCCGTCGGTCCCGGCAACCAGTCTAACATCTCTGGTTGTCGTCAGATACATGTGTAGTTGGAGGTTGTGAACGTAAAAACGGGTTGAAAGCGCGTCTGCGCTCTTTGAGCGGTACTCAGCCATGCACCCAAGTTTCTGGGCGTTGGAGTACCAGCCCGGCTTGGGGGGTCGTATTCAAATTGCTGGGCGTTGGATTACCAGCCCGACTGAAGGCGAGACGAGAAACGGTATCATCCTGATCGGATGCCATTTTCGAACATCTTTCACTCCTCCAAATAGACTTACACATGGCCGAAGTAAACCGTGAGGATGTACAAAGGGACCGTTGGAACCACAGGTGGTATAACCAACCTCACATGAAACTACATACATACAACACAGCATTCGCAGTATCAGAATGCTTAAGAGATACAGCTTATGTACCGATAATGACATACGAAATAAAAGTAGGAATAGAAACACAATAAATAAACTAATATGAAGACTCCAAAAAGGACAAGTTATGAACAAGTATCTCGAATAAGAAGAAAAAGTTTTTGCAAAATGTCAAATTCGTCCATTAACAAAATTTACATAAAAAGACTAGACAGTGATTATGCTAAAATATTAGGTTACTAATGGTAATAATAAACATTAAAGGAATGTTCGTTGAAAGAGCAAAACAAATGACACTGGTAAAGCACTCTGCTGGGAAATTTTTGTAGAGTAATAAGAACAATGACTGTGATATTTCTGCAATATGACATAAACATTGATACTGCCTAAAGTTTCTCTAGAAGGAGAACTGCAAAACTGGTACAAAATATTCGCAAAAACTTTAAAATAATGACATTGATAAATAAAGCCAGGTGTGTTACTAGCAAAGAACTCTGAAAGAAATTTTTACGGAAAAGACAGATCAAAGACAAAAACACCAGCATTAATAGATTAGAAAAAGAAGAACAGTTGTCACTATATACCAATTATATTTATTAAGGACAATGTATGACGTCACGTGATTAACTAGAGACTCTAATACAACGTCTCGGCTTATTAGGGAAAAATCATTATCTGCGTGCTCTAGTTAAGCCAACGTCACTTGCGACCAAGCCATTACAATTTCCCTTAAAGAGAGGCCTCAGTACTTATTTTTTTTTCCTACGAAAATCTCTGAATATGTGAATAATGTTGAATGTATTACAACGTAACATTTTCCTTATTTAAGGAGCAGTGTATTTACTTGATTTTTCTAAGTAAAAGTGGTAAGGAGGTGTTTTCTTAAAAAAAGTTTTTGTTTATTAAATAGTGCATGATTGCGATTGTGATTGAGTGTATGTGTCGTTCCATTGTATGGGTATTAAGTTAATATCTTGTTACAGTTATAAATTTATTTTAACTACCAAATTACGTTTAGCATTGATGTCAAAGACTAACACAAAAAAGAAGTTTTTTCTAGTACTTAACACAGGTGTCAACTACTACTGTTTTATGGTCAATTACTAATATATACTTTATAGCACTACAGTTACTATAGTTTTCATTTTTCTTAACTACATATCCAATATGATTTCAATATGCCTACTCTATCCAGTAGTTGACACCATGTCAATTACTAAATTTTTTGGATGTCAACTACTGAAAACCTTTTAAACGGTTGCTGTTCTGGCCGGAAGTCAAAGTACCAACGGGGAAAAACGAAAGATGGATAAGATATGATAATGAAAATGTTAAAAACGAACTTTAATGCTAAAGAAAATAACTTTAACAAAAAAACTAGTTTTCAAAATTCTTTTTATTCTAAATTACAGCTTATTTAGCAACAGATATGGAATATTAATGATTATTTATGGACAAATTATCAGACCTTTGAAAACCTGATGAAGACGTATGAAGCATGGAACAACATTTTACAATTAAGAATTTCGCTTTAGAATCGAACGAAGAATGTCGCTATGTGTAGATTATCCGCTAATTACACCTTTATATACAGTGCGTCCGTAAAGTAACGGATATAGGTGATAAAATCGTTATAAAAGAGTTATGGAAAAATCCCTGAAACGGGTCTAAAGATTTAAATTTTTTGCAATTTTTTGGTGTAGATTTTAAATTTTTTCCGCCATTTTTAAAGGAGTTATGACGTCATCGATATTTTTTTCAAATGGCAATACCTCGTTTTTATTGCGGAATATGAAAGAGGATATTGTTCTGAATCCAGTACAGTCAATATTAATAGTGGTTACATAAGAAAATTTTCGAGAAAAATTACTTTAAAGTTTAACTATTCAAATTTGCATAACATGATAAAAATAGCAGTACCCATGAGTAACTATGGTAACCAATCACTTTAAACAATTTCCTAAGTATCAAAAAATGGTTTAGTAAGTAGTTGATCTCTTTAATACAACATATCCTGATCATTAGCCAAAGTATGGTGAGCCTAGCTGTGAGCAAATTAAAAACCATGGGCATCCCTTGAAGCATTTCGCGAAGTCTGGCCTACCAAATGTTTCAGGGGAGGTTAAACAAAACGTGGTTTTAGCTGAGCAAGAAAACCCTCATGTTACTTCATGTTACTTCTTACTGTAAGGGGTATTGGGTCTAATTTGGACATTAGTAAATCAATGGTTCACAAAAATTTAAAACCCGCAAAATATCATGCCTATCAAGTAAACCTCATTCAAGAGCATTTAGTCGTAGTTTTTGCAACAACAATTTTACAACGACATCGAAGACTTTGTCAAAAACATAATTATTACCGACGGAAGAACATTTACATTGAGCGGACAAGTAAATAGACAAAAATTTGCTACCCAAAATTTGTGTGGAGCGAAATAGTACGGGATACTGTCCCGGGTCATTACTTTTTTGAAGAAACCTTAACTGGAGAGAGATATTATTTAGGTTTTTTCAAAATGATATCATTCCTTTCATAACAGCCAGATTTTCCGATAATGTCGACCCAACCCAATTCCAACGGCAGTCATTCTAACAAGATGGGCGCACCACCACACTTCAACAAGCTATACTAAATTACTTTTTGACACTTAGGAAATTGTTTAAAATGATTGGTTACCATAGTTACTCATGGCTACTGCTATTTTTATCATGTTACGAAAATTTGAATAGTTAAACTTTAAAGTAATTTTTCTCGAACATTTTCTTATGTAACCACTATTAATATTGACTGTACTGGATTCAGAACAATATCCTCTTTCATATTCCGCAATAAAAATGGGGTATTGCCATTTGAAAAAAATATCGATGACGTCATAACTCGTTTAAAAATGGCGGAAAAAATTTAAAATCTACACCATAAAATTGCAAAAAATTTAAATCTTTAGACCCGTTTCAGGGATTCTTCCATAAACCGTTTGTAATGATTTTATCACCTATATCCGTTACTTTACGGACACACTGTATATGAAATAAAATAACAAAACGTTCAAAAACTCTTCCATTATTTCAATGTCAATTACTAATACTTTGATCTGTCAACCATTAGAATTTTATGTTTTTTCTGTGTCAATTACTAACCAATTTTGGACACGTTTTGTAAATTCAGACAAAAAAGTTTATAAGTAAATTTTTGGTAGCAGTTTATCTTAGCACATTTACAAAGGACTAGTCTATCCGAATATGTACTATAAAATTTGCTGTGAAAAGTCCAACGAAGTTTAAAAAAAAAATATATATACTATTTTTCTGTCACTATAATATCAACTACTAGTACATTTACCTTAGTTGGTTTACAGAAAGAACCATCCTCGCCCAAATTATCATACAGCCTCTTAAAAGTAGATAGAGAAGGCTGGCGACAATCAAAATATTGTTCAAAATACTGTTCTGCAGCTTGTATTGCATTTTTATAGCATAAAATGTAACACTCAATGATATCACGTTTTTCTTGATTGGAAAAATTCATATTGATAATAATTTACAAAACCTCAATCAACGTTAATTACAAACTAAACAAAACATACGTTTGCCTTAAGCTGTCATAACCAAACATATCTGTCAATTGTTTCCATAGCATACTACCTGAACAGTTTGCCAATTAAAAGAATAAATGGCTATAATTTATTTATTAATTAAAATATCTATGTGAAGTGGTATATCATCAGAATCGTTGAGAAAAGGCCTTTTTTATAAAGTCATGGCCTACTATTAGGTTTCCATTAGAAAAATTACAAGTTTGTGTCATAACTCAAAAATTATTGCTTAAATAAAAAAATCAGTTAGACTGTTTTATTAAACATGTACTACCCTACAAACTTTTCCTTTACACATTTTTCCTAAAGTCAATAATAACAGAGCCATAGCTATCGAACGATATAACAAAAAAACGGTTTTTTCGAGATATCTAGTTAGCCATGCATTTTATCCAAAAAGCTCATTAACTCAGGCCCGGCGAGATTTTAGTTACTCATAATTTTCTTAAAATAATTTCAATCGGCTTGAGCATTTAGATATGCTCTACACACGTCTTTATTCAATACACACTTGATTCAAAAACATTCAAGTGTAATTAGCAATCGAAAAATCGTTTCCATTAGCACCCTGTATTTGCATAAACCGGGTCTCCGAAGCCCGTGTACTACTAGTTACTATAGAACAAGTTTCAACTTGTTCATTACAGGTTGAAGGTTATTATAATTTGTCAAACACTGCTGCGCGGAATTGTGCGTGCCTGTGCAAGTTAAAACGTGCATTACTGTTGGATGTATAAAAGTAGGTGCAGCTGGTTTTCATTCAGTTGGAATAGAAGTTGGATTGAGTGAACTTGTGAGATACATATGATAATGGCGTCAAAAAGGAATGTGAAAAGCGTGAGATTTGGTGACCCCGGTTATGAAGAAATATTGGTGCAGTGGGCAGCTGAATGTGATGATCTGCCTTCTGAAGAAAGTGATGTGTCAGAAGCAGAAAATGATGACACAGAAGATAGAAATTTCGAATTGGTTCCTGACGAGTATTCTGGATCCAGTTCTGATCATGGTGACAATAATTCAGAGGATGATGTTGATGATATTGGTAAGCCTTCAACGATCGGTTACATTGCTCCAAGTGGTCTGGTATGGTGTTTGGAACCTTCAGCAAAAAATAAAATTCAACCACACAACATTATGCGGCGTGCGCCAGGACTAGCAAGGAAACATATGACTGCAACACCAAAAGAAGCGTTTCAGTTATTTGTAACTCCAGTTATTGTACAAGAAATTGTGAACTGTACTAATTTAGAGGGCAAACGTGTTTATGGAGCAAAAGGAAAACCGTGGAAAGATGTAACTGTTGATGAAGTTCTTGCATTCTGTGGTTTAGTTATTCATGCGGGAGTTGACAGAAGCTGGAATGTTCCAGCGAGAGAATTATTTCGTGATGAATTTGCCAATTCTGTATACCGAGCCACAATGTCCATATTTCGCTTTGAAGAAATACGAAGATTCGTCAGATTTGACGACAAGAGAACCCGGAATGCGCGTTTGGAAACCGATAAGTTAGCAATGGTGTCCTACATTTGGGATTTATTCATTCAGCAATGCAAAACCTGCGTCATACCTGATACTAATGTAACTATTGATGAACAACTCGTTGGGTTTAGAGGTAGATGCACATTCGTTCAATATATGCCAAGTAAACCGGCAAAATATGGACTTAAAATATTTTGGATGTGTCAATCTACGTCTATGCTTTGGATGGTTTAGTTTATGTTGGTCGCCAGCCTGGAGAACCTCCACATAAAAACCTGGGGCTTGAAGTAGTACAAACTCTTGTGCGTGGCATTCATAATTCTGGTCGCAATCTCACTACAGACAATTTCTTCACTAGTGTTCCGCTAGCAACTTATCTGTTGGATAAAAATATTACTGTTCTGGGTACACTACGTCAGAATAAGCGTGACATTCCGAAATAAATGAAAGCCTCAAAAGATCGTGTAGTTTACTCTTCATTGTTTTGTTTTCAAAATAACGTATCCATGGTAAGTTACGCACGTAAAAAGAACAAATGCGTAATTTTACTAAGCACCATGAACCACGACGCATCTATCAATGACGACGCTAAGAGGAAGCCTGAAATCATCTCTCATTATAATAAAACAAAGGGCGGTGTTGACATCATGGATAAAATGTTGTCGACATACACGTGCAAGAGGCAAAGTAAACGCTGGCATTTGAACGATGGCCCATGACATTTTTCTTCAACATCATTGATGTTGCAGCACTCAATGCATATATAGTCTTTACGAAGGAACATCCAAACTACAACATACGAGTGACTCACAAACGCAGAATGTTTTTGAAAGATTTAGCGAAGGAACTAGTGATACCACCGATGCAGAGAAGATCTACTAACCCTAACCTACGGCGTACTGTCCGGGAGTGTATGAGCAGATTTATTGATATATGTGGTCCGCCAGCCGCTCACACAAGTGCAACAATGAAGAGAAAAGATGCTCAGTATGTCCCGCAAGTATTGATCGTAAAAGTACAATGATATGTATTACTTGTAAAAATAATATCTGTAATGAGCATAGTATTAGAATGTGCACTAAATGCTTCTCTAATCCCTAAAAACAATAAACAATAATGTTTTTTTTAACAATAATGTTCACTTTCATATTTAACTTCACGTTTGTAACGTACATATGTATAAATAAATAAAGTTTTACTTCAATAGCTTTGTTTCTGTTCTGACTACACGTGATTTTATATAACGGGTCTCAAAAGCCCGTATTATGTAAATGACGATATTTTATTGGTTAAGTATCCTAGGGTTAAATTGAGTTCATGAAACTGCAATTCTTTCCCTATTTAATCGTCTTTCTATCTCCGCTAGTTTTCAAGATCTCTATACTAAACATGGAAAAAAACTCAGCCTGTATAAACCTGAAATCGAAGAATTAGCAGACAGACTTCAATATCAAAAAAGTCATTAGATCTGTTTAATTGCCAATGATTTTTATGATGCCTTTATTACTTTTTTTTTGAGGCATTTTATTATTTTGTTGCTCATTTGGCAGCATATTGTTCACTAAGAGTTTTGAAAATGTTGACATTTCCAGTTCAAAAGGTTTGCCATCACTGTATTAATTGATGCATTGCAGTTAATACCTTATTCACACAATATTAGACAACATAGAAAACAAGAAATATGAGAAACCATAAAGGAAATAGAGCAAATCAGCTCAGTAAACACGCTTTCATTGAGAGAAAGAAGATTGGACAAATCACCCATTAATTTTTCCTTATAATAATTTCTTAATTGAACTAAAACTAGAAGTAACACCACACCTAAAACTATAAACTGTCAGGTGAAATAAAAATATTACCTCAATTTTCCTTCCAGTCCCTAAAACTTGAGCCCTAGCAAACTCCAATCGACTCAAATCATCTTCTTCGGTCACAACAATGGTACCAGGTTCAATTTCATCAGGAGTTAAAAATTTAGGACTATAACAACCAGCTTCGTAAGCAGCAAAACACTCATTCAACAAATCATTTGCATAATCCTCATTTTTTTCATCATCACTATCCTCTTCTTGGCTATCTTTACTTGTACTTGGTCCAGGTTCTTCTTTACTATCAATTAAATTACCGTCATTATTAGCAACATTTTCTTCTGTAGAAGTCGTCGCAACAGCTTGTTCAGCTCTCAAAACCTCCAATTTTCTTCTTAAACTATCTTGATGTCTATCTCTTAATCGCGCTCTAGCCATATGAGCTTTTAATTGAGACAATAAACTTTCCCAGTAACCTATATCGATTCCATCAGCTTTTCCATTTATTTTTCTTTCAATTTGCGTTTGTAAGGCGGCTAATTGCCCCGAAGTTTTTCCTTTAAAAACGGTTGTAACGTCACTCGCAACGGATTGATGAATCCCTTCACGTCTATTCATCCCCATATCATATTCATGTTGTTTCTCAATTTTGCGTAATTTTTGTAGTTCATCCTCAACAATTACAGTGATATCGTTCCAATAATCGAGGTTTTTTCCTCTTTCTAATTCTTTGTATACTTTTATATCTTCGACGAGGTCTTCTAAATCTTTCGAATGAAGCCCGTTTAAATAGGTGTAAGGTTCGTGCATTTCAACAGCGTCAACTTCTTCTTCTGCACTGATATATTTAGCTAATAAATCGATGGGTTTAGCTCGACCATCTTGAATACGAATGTGAGAACGTAATCGAGCTTGTTCTAAATGAAATTGATCTTCTTGTCGCTCCCACTCCTCAAATTGAGCCGCCTCTTTACTTCTTTGTAATAATTGCATTTCGTCCTCTCGTTTTTGTCGGTCTAATTCGCGTTCTAATCGACGTTTTTTAACTTTTTCTAATTCTCGTTTATTTTCGCCTTGTTTATGTCGATTTCTAGCCTCTAGTTCTTCTCTTCCAACGCCGATTAATCCGTCTTTCGCCAATTTTTTCGTCCAAACGAACGTTGAGAGTAAATTTGCGTCACCAAAGGGGTTATCGGTATTTGTGTAATGTAAATATTCGTTATCCCAACCCATTCGTTCTTTTCGTTTTCTTTCTTTCGCCTCTTTTTTGAGTAATCGTCTTAAACGTTTTTCTTCCGGCGTTTCTTTACTTTTCATTAATTCTTTTTGTCTCATTCGTTCCTCAGCTTGTTTTAAACGTTGCGTTTTTAATTTTTTTAATAATTTTACCGATTTATTTGAAGATGATGAAGAAGAATCTGAATCAGAATTAGATGATTCAGATCTTTTTGGGGACCTTGATTTGTGTTTAGAACGCGAGGAACTTCTTGAATGGTGGCTTCTAGTAGACATTTTTCTTGATTTTCGATATGATTCCTTCGATTTTGAGCGAGATCTCGATTTACGACGGTATTTTTCAACTTCTTCTGAATGTTCCCTACAAATAACCAATGTAAAAAGTAAACCAAAACATCATTTTAACAAACAAACCTCTTTCTATGATCCCTAGGCATTTTTAAATCCTTTTATAACAACCACAAATATAACTAAATAAATTAATAATTACGAAAGAAATCGAATAATAACCTCAATTTTGACACATACTAAATTGACAGATTAAAACGTTTCGTTTTGGTGATATTAATAAATTCCCTAATAAAATTTAGTTATTTTTATGATTAATGTAGTGGTACCAATTTTAAGATTTCCCCAACTGTCATTAACAAAGTGTTCATTAACAAGTGGTCTAAAAGTCTTTAAAATCTTAAGAAAAGTTTCTGAAGCTTATCGAAAATGAATCGTGAGAAGAAAATGGATGATATTACTAAAAATATTTATTATTCGGATAAATACTACGATGACGAGTACGAATACAGGTAAATATCGGTATTCTTCAATAAAAGCACGTGCTAAGAGACCTTTTGTATCGTCGTCACGTGGCGACCTATTTCTTTGGATTAGGCATGTTGCGCTGCCGAAAGAACTCGTTTCGATGATCCCAAAGACTCATTTGATGAGTGAGCAAGAGTGGAGAGGAATCGGAGTTCAAATGAGCCAAGGTTGGATGCATTACATGACACACGCACCAGGTAATTATTACTATTCCATGTAATTTATAATGGACTTTCTTGATTAATTAAACAACTTTATGGCTTTAGCAGGAATTTTATTTTTGCCAATTTTGAACAGAATCTTATATCTCTCAAAATCATAAACGAACAACAACAACAATTTTATATCACTATGCTTACTACATATAAAATGTCAACAGGTCAAATGTGGCTGAAGTTAGATTCATATTCGAATCTGTACCAGATTCAGATTCATAAAATTACAGTTGACCAGCCAAGTATTGGACATATCAATTGAAAAATCATTTTCTGAAACTACAGAAGTTGTAGCAATCTGTGACTACCCTGGATAATTCGAATAGACCCTCTAGTATGTTCCCTGTCTACCCTCACTCCCAGATTTATGTAGAGGCAGAGTGATGAATATTTGAATACTCATTGATTTTAATAGCAAAGTTAAAAGTTATTTTCTCAACAACTAAGGACTGCAGCACCCTGGAACTAGTCGAGATTATTGCATTAGGTCCTCTGGTATCCTCCTAGCCCACCAGCACCCCCAGATTTGCTGTAGGGGCTGAGGGGTGAATTTTTTAATATTCCTCGTTTTCAATAGCAAATTTAAACATTATTTTGTCAATAACTAGAGACTGTAGTACCCTGGGACTAGTCTAGATTATTGCATTAGGTCCTCTGGTATCCTCCTAGCCCATCAGCATCCCCAGATTTGCCGTAGGGCTGAGGGGTGAATTGTTTAATATTCCTCATTTTCAATAGCAAATTTAAACATTATTTTCACAATAACTAGAGACTGCAGCACCCTGGGACTAGTCTAGATTATTGTATTAGGTCCTCTGGTATCCTGCTAGCCCATCAGCACCCCCAGATTTGCCGTAGGGCTGAGGGGTGAATTTTTTAATATTCCTCGTTTTCAATAGCAAATTTAAACATTATTTTCTCAATAACTAGAGACTGCAGCACCCTGGGACTAGTCTAGATTATTGCATAGGGTCCTCTGGTATTCTTCTAGCCCACCAGCACCTCCAGATTTGCCGTAGGGGCTGAGGGGTGAATTTTCTAATATTCCTCGTTTTCAATAGCAAATTTAAACATTATTTTCTCAATAACTAGAGACTGCAGCACCATTGGACTAGTCTAGATTATTGCATTAGGTCCTCTGGTATCCTCCTAGCCCACCAGCACCCCCAGATTTGCCGTAGGGGCTGAGGGGTGAATTTTTTAATATTCCTCGTTTTCAATAGCAAATTTAAACATTATTTTCTCAATAACTAGAGACTGCAGCACCCTGGGACTAGTCTAGATTATTGCATAGGGTTCTCTGGTATTCTTCTAGCCCACCAGCACCTCCAGATTTGCCGTAGGGGCCGAGGGGTGAATTTTTTAATATTCCTCGTTTTCAATTGCAAATTTAAACATTATTTTCTCAATAACTAGAGACTGCAGCACCCTGAGACTAGTCCAGATTATTGCATTAGGTCATCTGGTATCCTCCTAGCCCACCAGCAGCCCCAGATTTTCCGTAGGGGCCGAGGGGTGAATTTTTTGATATTCCTCGTTTTCAATAACAAAATTAAAAATTGTTTTCTGAAGAACTAGAGACTGCAGCGCCCTGGGGCTGGTCTAGATTATTATATTTAAAATTTGTTCAATATTTAGTTTGATATGAAATTATAATTTTCATATGGCTTTTACTTCTTTAATAATGAAACTTGAACGACACTTTTCTAAATTTTGGGACACATTAAAGCATTTAAATTGAACAAAGATTGCAGGTAAATATGAAAGTAACGTGGGACGCTTGTTCAAAACACATGTTTGGTGGAATATTGGCACAATTTTTAAAATGATACCACCGTTGACATTGATTGCAACAAATGTATTGCGATTCGTTATAGAGACCACACCTAGGGCAGTACTTTTTAATATTTTCTGAATTTTCCAACAGTACGTTTGTAGCCTAAACCGGTATTCTCTGTAACGCCTGTGAAGTTGGCCATAGATTTCAGCCATAGATTTTAAACTGAAAAAAATGCGTGATCGGGGTATTTAATCGATCTAATTTTAACGGCATCGTATTCATGGTCGTCTCTTGTTTCAAATTCGAAAAGAAAATTTTCCTAACCATTTCCTATTTTCCGGGAAAATCGATTTCCTGAAACATTCGCAAAATTCGGCTCGTTCGGGGTTTTTAATCGATCTAATTTCAACGGCATCGTATTCCTGGTGGCCTCTTGCTTCAGATTCGAAAAGAAAATTTTCCTAACCATTTCTTATTTTCCGGGAAAATCGATTTTCTTCAAACTTTCGCAAAATTCGGCTCGTTCGGGGTTTTTAATCGATCTAATTTCAACGGCATCGTATTCCTGGTGGCCTCTTGCTTCAGATTCGAAAAGAAAATTTTCCTAACCATTTCTTATTTTCCGGGAAAATCGATTTTCTTCAAACTTTCGCAAAATTCGGCTCGTTCGGGGTTTTTAATCGATCTAATTTCAACGGCATCGTATTCCTGGTGGCCTCTTGCTTCAGATTCGAAAAGAAAATTTTCCTAACCATTTCTTATTTTCCGGGAAAATCGATTTTCTTCAAACTTTCGCAAAATTCGGCTCGTTCGGGGTTTTTAATCGATCTAATTTCAACGGCATCGTATTCCTGGTGGCCTCTTGCTTCAGATTCGAAAAGAAAATTTTCCTAACCATTTCTTATTTTCCGGGAAAATCGATTTTCTTCAAACTTTCGCAAAATTCGGCTCGTTCGGGGTTTTTAATCGATCTAATTTCAACGGCATCGTATTCCTGGTGGCCTCTTGCTTCAGATTCGAAAAGAAAATTTTCCTAACCATTTCTTATTTTCCGGGAAAATCGATTTTCTTCAAACTTTCGCAAAATTCGGCTCGTTCGGGGTTTTTAATCGATCTAATTTCAACGGCATCGTATTCATGGTCGCCTCTTGTTTCAAATTCGAAAAGAAAATTTTCCTAACCATTTTCTATTTTCCGGGAAAATCGATTTTCTTCAAACTTTCGCAAATTTCGGCCTGTTCGGGGTTTCTAATCGATCTAATTTCAACGGCATCATATTCCTGGTGCCCTTTTGCTTCGGATTCAAAAAGAAATATTTCCTAACCATTTCTTATACTCCGGAAAAATGGTTTTTCTTCAAACAATTGCAAATTTTGGCCTGTTCGGGGTTTCTAATCGGTCTAATTTCAACGGCATGGTATTCCTGGTAGCCTTTTGCTAAAGATTGAAAAAGAAAATTTTCCTAACCATTTCCTATTTTCCGGAAAAACCGATTTTCTTCAAACATTCGCAAATTTCGGCCTGTTCGGGGTTTCTAATCGATTTCATTTCAACGGCGTCGTATTCCTGGTGCCCTTTTGCTTTAGATTCAAAAAGAAAATTTTCCTAACCATTTCTTATATTCCAGGAAAATCGTTCCGACACTATTGGAGACTTCGCTCCGCTACGCGTCGCTCAATCTCCAAACGTTGTCGTCAACCGGTAAATTGTACTTACCGTTCTGGATACTTAATAAATATACTATTTATTTGAATATTATTACTTTTTCGTAGTCTCCAGCGACTTACAGCCAATATATTTCATGTTACCAAAAAATTTTTATGTATGTATGCCCGTGTTTTGTTAAACCCTTCATCGAAGACACATTTCAAGCTCACCACTTTTTCCTTTAAGAAGAATACGATCCCGTTAAAATTAGATCGATTAGAAACCCCGAACAGGCCGAAATTTGCGATTGTTTGAAGAAAAACGATTTTCCCGGAATATAAGAAATGGTTAGGAAAACTTTCTTTTTAAATCTGAAGCAAAAGGCCACCAGGAATACCATGCCGTTGAAATTAGATCGATTAGAAACCCCGAACAGGTCGACATTTGCTTATGTTTGAAGAAAATCGATTTTTCCGGAATATAGGAAATGGTTAGGAAAATTTTCTTTTCGAACCTGAAGAAAGAGGCCACCAGGAATACGATGCCGTTGAAATTAGATCGACTAAAAACCCCGAACGAGCCGAATTTTGCGAAAGTTTGAAGAAAATCGATTTTCCCGGAAAATAGGAGATGGTTAGGAAAATTTTCTTTTCGAATTTGAAACAAGAGGCGACCATGAATACGATGCCGTTGAAATTAGATCGATTAAATACCTCGATCACGCATTTTTTTCAGTTTAAAATCTATGACTGAAATCTATGGCCAACTTCACACGCGTTTCTCTGTATCCAATTGTTTATTTACATAAAAAAGATCATTAATAATGTCATGCTCTCCTATAACGTTCATAAAATATATAACAAATAGTCCACAATTTATGCTTTCCGTTTGTTTAGGATATTTGTGGCCTTTAACCATTTTCCAACCTTTAATATTCATTACGACTTTTTTTTTATTACACCTTTGGAAAAGCTTTTTAATTTTGCTAAATATATGTATTATTGTCCACATTTGTTTGACCGAGATCGATTAAATAAGTTAATTTTTCTGGCATACTTTGGACTATTAATATCCAGTTACTAGCATTTA